ACGCTTTTCAGTAGCGCTCTCTGTATAAAAGCGCTACTGCTAACGCGAAGCATGTAATTTTTTTCAAAAATACATTGGTCATCAGTGATCTTTTTTTGTAGAATCTAAATTGTCAATAGGAATCTTCTCTGGTTTCCACAGATCCTACGCATAGAGTTCAATGACGACCAAGTGGTTGTGATTGTTTGAGAAGCACCATATTTAAGATGGTAAAAATTCTGTTCGCGGAGTGAGGTGGGACTAAACTTTGGTATTATTAGGAGGGGACTGAATATATCAGTAGCGCTTGTAAGGGAAAAAGCGCCGTTGCTAAGACCAATAGTAGTAGCGCTTTTTCCCCATGAGCGCTACTAGTATCCCTAGCATATCTGGAACGGTCTGTCAGTTTTAGTAGTAGCGCGTTTTTCATTTCCAGCGCTACTAGTATTCCTAGCATACCTGGAACGGTCTGTCATTTTTTAGTAGTAGCGCGTTTTCCATTTCCAGCGCTACTCCTATGCCCATAGTAGCAGGGCTTGTAGTGCAACAGCGCTACTACTAAGTAGCAGCAGCATTTACTCTTTTCCAGCACTACTACTATGCTACTGTGTATAAGCATTTTCCTAGTAGTGTGTGCAGATGTCATCAGATATTGAGAGTGATGATGACAATAGTTATGAAACAATAAGGAATTTGGTTATGCGTCAACAACATAATATGTACATGCTTTTGTTCGGGTGCGGAAGCCATATTTAGCAAGTATTGTGAAAGTTGGGTGATGAAGGCCGAGCCTAGAAATCTTTTTTGAGTGGATTTTGTTGGCTTCAAGAGACTATTGCCACACCCGGAGAGACCTACACAATGTTGAGAATGACGGCAAGTGTGTTCTTTGATCTTGATGACTTGTTGGTATGCAATTATGGTCTAAAAGAGACATGCTTTGTTAGCACTTACGAGTCTCTTGCTATGTGTCGGTGTCAAAACCGGCGGATCTCGGGTAGGGGGTCCCGAACTGTGCGTCTAAGGCGGATGGTAACAGGAGGCAGGGGACACGATGTTTACCCAGGTTCGGGCCCTCTTGATGGAGGTAATACCCTACATCCTGCTTGATTGTTCTTGATGATATGAGTATTACAAGAGTTGATCTACCACGAGATCAAAGAGGCTAAACCCTAGAAGCTACCCTATGGTATGATTGTCTGTTGTCCTACGGACTAAAACCCTCCGGTTTATATAGACATCGGAGGGGGCTAGGGTTACACAAGGTCGGTTACAAAGGTGGAGATATACATATCCGTATTGCCTAGCTTGCCTTCCACGCCAATTAGAGTCCCATCCGGACACGGGACGAAGTCTTCAAACTTGTATCTTCATAGTCCAACAGTCCGGCCAAAGGATATAGTCAGGCTGTCCGGAGACCCCCTAATCCAGGACTCCCTCACTATGTTCTTGTGGACATTGGAGGTTGTGAATCAAGCAGAAGAACTCAAAACCGCTTCAAACATTCAGCGAATACAACCAATCGTAAATTCCATGAGGTTCTTCAATGTGTGGTCAATATGGCATCCCACTCCTACCTTAAGCCACAAGAACCAAACTTCCACCTTTTGCATGATATCATTAAGACAGATAGAAGGGCTTATGCGCATCTGAAAGATTGCATTGGTGCAATTGATGTGACTCATCTAAGAGCTTCTATTCCTGAAGGGCCTCAGGAAATAAGGTACATTGGGAGAACGTGCGCGAATATGCAAATATTTATGCCTATGTTGGTGAAGTCATGCTTGTGTTGCATAGATATGTGTCCCCTTTTTGATTTGCAGACATATTTAAATTTGATGAAGCTTTTGTCATAGGACATATCTCAAACCTTGTGATTCTTTTATCTAAACTTGATGAAATTCAAAAATATACATGTTCGTTTCACTATTTGCACTTTTTTTGCCTCGAAACATTGGGAAGCTTTATTGCTTTAACAAGGTCCTGTTACAATCAGCACGAAGGCTGCTAACTAAGAAATTCGGACATTCTTCTCTTCAGCACTCGGAGACCGACAAAGTACATGCGTTCTTTGCACAGAGATCTGCCGAACTATTGGCATCCCTTAGGACATGTCTAGCAGAGAAGGAAATAAAACTAGAAGACTTCTCCCCTATTTCATCTAAGATAGGGGCTACAATGGAACGAACATTGTTGCGCGAAGAACAGAGGTTAACAACCACCAGACAATCCACTTCCATCACCACATGTGAGAAACCCCAGAGTTGTGCAAAGATTACACCCTCTCGAAGAGCTAAACTTCGGCGATCAGTGGATCAGATATCCCGGCGAACGGCTTACTCCAAGCTCCAACGAAGGCTAGGTGAGAACGAGCAACACCACCGCCTCCTCCAGAATGATGTTCAGTACTAATAGCCCCATCAGTATTAATTTTGATCCATCCAACGTCGGGAGGCCTCCAGCACTGTCCATCAAGAATACCATGACGCCGTGTGGGTGTTTCAAGCATCAACAGGTCATCCCTAACCATCTTCACCGACTGGACCGGATCAAAGACAGGCTGATCATGTGTCCATTGGTTGCGTGATGTCCAAATCGCATACATGATTGTGATCAATTTTCCACGGTCTTGATCAGGAATCATGCCATCCAGTACAATGTCTTTTGCCCAGGTTGATTTGCACTTGGACAACCCAAAACTGCACTATTTGCACTTGCGATTCTTTAACTATTTGTACAACCAAAATCACAGAAACTACATAGAAAATATACAAGAGCTTCAAAATCTGGCATGTAGCTCTCTTTCCAGCCCATCCTGCCTTCCCCACAGAGTTGGGGCACCTCACAGCCCACCCGGATGGGCTTCAGGCTGCCTTCCTTGGCTGCCAACCCATGCAGCCGGAGCTGCCAAAAGCTTCTGGCTTCCTCGTGAAGCTGGCTAGCGCTGGCTTTTCATGAAGCTGGCTAGCTTGGGAAGCCAGTGAGGTTCTGAACGGGGTCCAAGTCTTGTGAAAATTTTGCCGATTTGTTAACTAAATCATTATAGGCATCATCCTTCGAGAGATATATGCGTGGAATCAGCATGATGAGACTAGGGAGATGCAAGGTTCAGGAAAAGAAACTTCACAAACTCGTCGTTATAATATCTATCTTGATGATCGAGTACTCAACTTGATGGTTGAGTGAATTGTACTTCTTTTTTCTTGAATTAGTTATTTTGATGTTTCTCACACGAGGTTTTTGACGAGGCAATTCGTGCAACACAACAACGTATAGTATAGTATGCACTCTTCCTTCATATATTTTTTAATTGAGGTTTTCGGAGTTTTGAGACATCAATATACAGCTAAGTACCCAGAAGGGAATGTTAGAAAACCAGGACTATTAGAGGTATGGTGTGGGCGCACCGCCTAGCCCTCCTGGTTTCATACTTTATGTTAAGTGGGTACTTATCCCTTATTGCACACAATTCATCAATCATCATTATATATTTAGGTGAGGAGCAATAATTGCACACAATTCACCAATCGTCATTATAATAAGGAAAAAAAGGCTCCCCTTTTATGTGTTCATCTACTTTTTGCATTGTGACGTGATCAACTACTTGGTCTACAACACTCGGCCCCGGACCGGGCTCGTGGACAGGAGTTGCGAAACAGTCCATCTACATATAAACCAAGTGAAGCCCCTCAAATGGTGCTCTTAACAGAGCACACCAATGGGTGAGATGGTGACCCATTGTGCCGGACTGCACAATTAGCAATCAAGAAAAGAAGCCCCTCAAATGAGAAGAAAAACTAAAGAAAAGAAAAAGCGTAGCCTCCGCCTTATCTGATAACTGCAGCGCCCTTATCTGAAGCCGCATCCCGGGCACGGCTCGCGTCCACGCCACCCGGTGCCTGGTGGCGCGGGAGTCGTGGAAGGAAGGCGAGGGCGACGTCCGGTCGATCGATCGATCCCCCGCCACGGCCGCCACATGGCCACGCCGCTTTGGACCCATCCCAAGCTCCCCAACACATATTCTTGTCGCCAAAACAAGCACATCCGTTTCTCCCAGGCCGGTTCCCGTCGCACCGCCGTGTGTTGTGTGGTCGCGGTTGCACCTCCAGCAGAGGTTGCGCCGGTGGTCCAACGAAAACCTCACGACCACGGATCAAGGACCTGAGATACGTGAAGGAGGTTGCACGGGCGCGTAGATGGCCCGACGCGTGCAGGAAAGGCCAAATACACAGTCCACATCCCTCCATCGAATCTAGGTTTTTCCCGACGCAGTACAAACACACAAACCAGACCAACCATTCTTCGCCATCACCACTGTTTTCAGTACACGGCCATTATTTCGACCCAAGCAAAGCAAGGTCGAAATGACCAGCCCGGAAATAAATTCGAAACCATAATTATTTTATATTTTACGTAATAAACACCAAAGAGAAAAAAAAAGTGATGGACGTGCGCGATGGGATCGGAGCCCAGCAGCAGCAGGCGACGGATCTAGGTTTCCGTTAACCCGCTCTCTCTCTCTCTCTCTCTCTCTTCCCCCTGGTGATGATCTGTGTCGCCAATACACTATTCGCTCTCGCTGGCCGACAGCTGGGCCCCAGTCGCTGATCCCGAGGCCGGCGCTTTCGGGGGATAAGCATGGACGGCGAGGATCCACCCGCCCGTCACCTCCCACAAACACAGCGAGCCACTGTAAAATGCAGCACGCACACGCAAGGTTAAACGTTACCTGCATGACGCGTGGGTCCCCTCTACAAGTCGGTCCCATGGGCAGTGGGAGATGAGCTGGTGGTGAGTCGAGTGCACGTAACAGCAGCGGCGCTAATAGCGCAACGAGACGCCGGGAATGGGTTAATAGAGGGAGGGAGCCAGCCACCAGCGCCTCTCCCCACCGCACGCCCCCCTCCCCCCTCGCGCCGCCGCCGCAAAAACCCCGGGCAGGCATCTTCCTCCGAGGCGCGGCGAGGGGAGGTCGTCGCCGTCGTCGCCGCCGCGCGCGATCCGGGAGGGCGAGAGGGGAGATGGCATCGGAGGACGTGGTGGGGAAGAGCAGGGGCGACACGGCCGTCAACACCATCGTCAACCTGGCCGAGGAGGCCAAGCTCGCGCGCGAGGGCGTCAAGGGCCCCGGCCACCAGGTCCTCACCGTCTGCAAGTCCCTCTTCGCCGGAGGCGTCGCCGGTGGCCTGTGAGTCCCCCCTTCCTCCTCCCTTCCCCCCTCTCCCCTTCCTCGATTCGCTCCCCTCCGCGGCGTCTCTCGCGACGGGCGCCGACTCCCAGATTCGGCGCAATTTCGTGGCGATTCCTGTAATTAGATTGGCGTTTGGTCTGTGTCGGAATCGCGTGTCCCCCGGGCCAATTGGGGTTTCCAGGTGGACGCGATTGGTATGTGCGTGATTCGCCTGGCATGCGAGTCGATGCATGGAGTTAGGTGGGCGCGAGGGCGATCTGTGCTGCTGGGATTCGGGATTCGGGACGCTTAAACCCTTGCCGCGCGCCCCTCAGATCTCGTTTGGTAGAGTTGTTGGTCTCGATTAAAATTCGCATCTGATTGATTAGTTTCGTCTATGATCTATACCATTTCCCTCTGCACACATGACCGACCGCTTCGTGATCTGTAGTACGTCAGGCAGAATCTGCTGTCGAGCATTTTGACTAATGCTAATTGTTTTGTTTGGATCAGTTTGCTGACGCTTAAACCCTAGCGATATACCATTAGTCTGAGGTGAAAAACACTGGACGGGGTTATATTAGCATTTCTCGTCATCCCGTTACCGTCAATTCAATGTCAAATTTGCATGTTGTTGTTTTTCACTGTCTTTAAAATGCTATCCCTAATATTCTGCGCAATGAGTTCCTTTAATTGGAGCTACTTTGGGGCTGGACATTTTATATCCAAGATTAGTGTATCAAGCTGCTAAACCCCCCTAATAAGTCGATTCACCAGGCTTTATGATCTGGATCTTAATTACTGGCACATTCTTTATTTGAGGTGTCAATTATTGGCTCATTCTTTATTGGCACCTTCTTAAGTATGTGCTTCTTCATGATGTCATGAAATCCCATTATCTAAAGCTGAGCATCTAAGTGCCTACTTGATGTAATAATATATATTTGGTTGGTAGAGGACTATGGCTAGTTGATCTTGTCTTCCTTGGTTGGGGCTCTAGCTATCAAACGTTGTTATAGTTGCTGGAGTCAAAGCTGGCTTTGCCTTTTGCTTTGCTTTTTAGCCACTTGGAAACATTGCGTTCTTGAGAACAAGTTGCTAAACAACACCCCCTCCAACACACACAGAAGTACACCCCCTCCAACACACACAGAAGTATCGATTAACCACAGGCTTTAAGAATCTGGATTTAATGTTAATTACTGGTGCATTCTTAATTTGATGTGTTAATCAGTGGTGCACTTGCAAGCATGCGATTCTCCATGACGTCATGAATGTAAAGCCAAGCCCCTGATTGCCTATCTGTGGTTACATGATGTGATGTTATAGTATATTTGTTGGGTACACGACTATGCCGAGTTGATCTTGTCTTCCTTGGTTAGTACTCTAGCTAGAAAATGTTGTTATAATTCGCTGAAGTCAAAGCTTGAATTCCTCTTCTTCTGTTGTTGTGCTGGCCATTAAGAACATTGCAAACATACTTGAAACACACACGAAAGGTTACAAGCTATTTACATGATTATGTTATGCATAATTGTTTTATCTTTAAAAAAATACTTACCAACTACTGCGTGTCAATGATATGGTAGGTGTGTATGCTTATGAGTTTTGTTTATTTTGTTGTTTTGCACAGATCGAGGACTGCTGTTGCTCCGCTTGAGCGATTGAAGATCCTGCTTCAGGTGTAGATCATCATTTTTGCTTTTATCTTGTGGCATGTTATTGTTCATGTTGGTTGAATGATAAATTGATGGAATTGTCTTTTCCTAAGTTGTTCTGTTTACCATGTACTAAGACATCAGATGACTAAATTAATAGCAATATTATATTCTTTGATTATTTCAAAAGTTTCTTCTATTAATGATATCAGCTAACATTGATGTGATGCAATGTACATATACACCACATCAGTGTGTTAGATATGGTCTGTCTATTATAATTCAAGCCATGTTTTGTCTTATAGCTAGTTATTAACATTTGTTGCATTCATGGAACCATTTCTAATTTGTGGTGGCCACTCAAACTAAACTTCTTTGAGTGCGCACTAATTGCTCACATTTTCAGTTCTGAATCATCACGAGGAAATAATGCTAATAATATTCCGTTCACCCTTGTTACCGGATCCCAATACTTTTGTTACTAAAAGTGAAAAGGAAATGTTTTGTGAAATTCACTGTGTGGACCTTTTCTTATATTACCTTCCTTGCAGGTTCAAAATCCTCACAGTATCAAGTACAATGGTACCGTTCAAGGGCTTAAGTATATATGGAGAACAGAAGGCCTTCGTGGACTGTTTAAGGGCAATGGAACTAACTGTGCAAGGATTGTCCCAAACTCTGCTGTGAAATTCTTCAGCTATGAGCAAGCATCAAGGTGGGTTTTTGGTTGCAATTACTCTTGCCTTGCATAACCACTTGCGTTCCACCACCTAGTTATTTGTAGTTTGCAATTTGCAGAACTTATCTCTGTTGCACGATGAGACAGTTTTGACCTGAAATTGGTTAGGAGCATTTCTTTATTACCATGTATTGACATGTTCTTGTTTCATGTAAGCTCTATTTGATATGTTATTTCCTTCTGTACCATTCTTACAGGGGTATTTTGTATCTGTACCGGCAACAGACTGGGGATGGTATGCCATTTTCTCTTGTCCTTACTACATAAATTAAGTTTCCCGAGTTTGGCATCTTCGTCTCTTTAGAAGTGAAAACATACCTCATGTTATACCACACGTGATTCTAGTGTTTGGTCATGTCTACAATCGCAGCTGTACTTGCTGTGCCATTTTGTGGAAATAATTAAAAGAGGAATTTAATTGGTGTACTCAGATTCTCCACCTCATGGCATTGGCGGCCTGTCTATCATTAACTAGAAGTCATGAAATTGTTTAGGTTCTTATTATTTAATCTAATCTTACAGGCACTTCATTGAATCTGAATCGAACCACTCTAGTTGCTTAAAATTAATAATTATTGCGATGCAGGAAGTGGAAGTATTATTTCTGCATGACTTGCGTGTCCCAGTAGTGTTTATTTTATCATAACATTCGTTTCTTGACCTATATGGCGTTTACGCCTTAGTAACATGTTGCTTTAATCCAACTCCGGTCACTGCTCGAGGCCTAAGCATTATAAAGGTTGCTGCTCACCAAATTGAATGTGAAATTGTATTTTTGTTAATTTATAAACCATAGGTAGGCTAATGTGGAACAAAAAGTCCCCGGGTTGAATACCCTTGTGTTAGTGGTTACATATAGTTCAAGACCTCTGTCATACATATCAGACTGATTTTGCTCAACTAAGTAAAGAATTCATGTTTGGCTGTCTTTTCATACATTTTTGTTTTAGAAATTGTTGTCATACATATAGATATAAATTGCTGGAAGTCCTGTAGATTTAACGCTTGGTCAAATGTTAATTATTGTGAACAGAGAATGCTCAGCTTAGTCCAATCTTGCGCCTTGGAGCCGGAGCCACAGCTGGTATCATAGCCATGTCTGCCACTTATCCCATGGATATGGTTAGGGGTAGGATTACTGTTCAGGTACTGTCTAGATTTCATTGCTTTCTGTCATCATGATACTGTGAACATGAATAGTTGAATACATGTTATTACATGCTTAAATTTCATTCCATATTCTATTTTAATGGAGAATAATATCACTTCTGCAGACAGAGAAGTCTCCCTACCAGTACCGTGGTATGTTTCATGCATTGGGCACAGTGTACCGTGAAGAAGGCTTCCGTGCTTTATACAGAGGCTGGCTTCCATCAGTGATTGGAGTTGTAGGTTCCTCTTACCTAGTACTGTAATCTATTTGTGTGATGCGTCTTGCTGATGGGCACTTACCTCTCAATGCTTTGTTTTCGTCTTCTTGCAGGTCCCTTATGTTGGCCTTAACTTTGCTGTGTACGAGTCTCTGAAGGACTGGCTCCTCCAGTCAAATGCATTCGATCTTGCAAAGGACAATGAGCTGCACGTAGTAACAAGGCTTGGATGCGGAGCTGTGGCTGGAACCATAGGCCAGACTGTGGCATACCCTCTTGATGTTGTCAGGAGAAGGATGCAGATGGTCGGCTGGAGTCACGCTGCTTCTATTGTTACTGGAGAAGGCAAAGAGGCACTCCAGTACAATGGTATGATTGATGCATTCAGGAAAACTGTCCGCCACGAAGGATTTGGTGCTCTGTACAAGGGTCTTGTGCCCAACTCGGTGAAGGTAATGCTTCTAATGAGCAATGCAGATGTCTATAAGCTTCCCGGATATCTCATTATTGTTCTTATCTAATCCACTGCCCCTGTATTTTGGCTCTTCAGGTGGTGCCTTCCATCGCCATCGCGTTTGTCACGTATGAGGCTGTGAAGGATGTTCTAGGAGTAGAGATGAGGATAGACTGAAGAATCGGACCTAGCGCTGTCCGTGTTATCAACTTCTATTTTTGTAGGTGTTGAGTTCCCTTTTTTTGTTAGGCAGGGCGAGTAGAAGGACAATAGGACCGAGGCTCCATTCAGCATAAGGCCCTCTCAGCCCATGTCGATATATCCTACTACTGGTTCCGGAACCCTAATTGCTGCCGCACTCTCGCTTCGGAAAGTAATAAGTTGGCTGTAAAGCATTAAAGCATTTGCCTGACTCATAAAGTCTTATTCAGTGAGGAACCCTGTATTGAGATTGATTGAAACATAAGCTGCATGCTGTGTGCTGCTAATAGTTGATTTTCATGATCCTCTTGTTTTCTTCACTCTTTGTTGCATCTCATCTATCTTTTTAGTTACTTGGCATTTCTCATTTGTGGACTGTTGCTGCTGCTGATATATTGATATGTCTCTGAAGAAAACTCTTTACAACAGTGTGCTGCTATATCTGAACATGCATTTGCATTTCCTTTTTTCTTCGAGGGATTTTTTTGCATTTCCTAGTCTGTTTGTTTGTTGGGTGACATATAAGACCCATTTGTTTACATACATCCACTGAGTAGTTTCCATATGTATGACTGACAGAATGCCACATGACTGAATTTATTTGTGTAAAATCTGCTCTTCTTATTGCTAAGATGCGTGTTCGCTCTCTACTGAGTACATCACAAGTACAATCTTGCATTTGCGTTTCTAGCCTAGCTCGGAGTCTGAAGCGTGACCCCCGGGATTGTGGAATCACGGCGGCCTGCAGCTGCCCGTCGGACATTATCCTTGGCGTCCGTCGTAGGGCTCCAACCTGCTGCGACGGCGCCGCTTGCCGGACCACCCCCATCGATCTCGACTTCTGCGGCGACCCTGCATAGAGATGCACCCACGCCATTGTCATCATCCTCAACGGCGAGCTCCTAGGAGGAACGCAGCTACAGACACTTGCCTGCTTTGGCGCCGGCGACCCTGCCGGCCGGCTTGCGCGGCGACGACACCGATGGCGCCAACCTGCTGCTGCCGCTGCTCTTGGAGGACGGCGACCGCGACCACGCCTTGGCGCGCGGGCTCGACGTCGGGGCCGTCTCGACGACGACGTCCGGCACCGTCGCGCCGCTGTGCAAGCTCTCGTCGCCGCACAGCGAGTTGGCCTCGCTGCCGGAGTCGGAGCCCCTGCCGACGTGCAGGATCGCCGCCTTGCCCCTCTCCATCACCCTGTACGCGTACATCTCGAACGGCACGTCCGACACGCGCGGCGCCACGCCCCCCTGCCGCTGCTGCCACGCCGGGAGCTTCTTCTGCAGCAGCGCCTCGATGTCCAGGTAGTCCACCGGCGGCGTCGGCGTCGACGTCGACGCGTCGGCCTGGCCGCCGTGCTGCTCCGGGTTCATGACGAGGAACCGCTTCACGTAGCGGAGGACGCGGCAGATGGAGCTGAACGGCGGCCGCTGCGCCGGGTCGCCGTGCCAGCAGCGCCTGGTGAGGCCGGTCAGGTACTTGGGCGCCTGGAACGGGAACAGCGGCCTCTCGCCGGCGCGGATGTTCTTGCTCATGTTGTCGCCCTGCAGGTGGTTGTCCTCGAACGGGATCTTGCCGGTCAGCAGCTCGAAGCTGATCATGCCGAAGCTGTACACGTCCGCCTTCTCCGTGCGCCTCGCCGTCGCCTGCCCGGGCTCGTCGTTCTCCAGCACCTCCGGCGCGTACCATATGCATGGGTTGACGCTGCCATTCCCACTGGCGTTCGCGTTTGCGTTTGCGCCGGCGGCGGCGTGCGACGCCTTCCGGCCGGGGCTGGTCACGGCTGCAGCTCCGGGGTCGGCGGCGAACCCGGCGACCTTGACGACCAGGTAGGCGTCGGCGGCGCTGCCCCGCGTCTTGACGAGCACGTTGGACGGGTTGAGCTCGCCGTGGTAGATCTTCTTGGAGTGGAGGTGCTCCATGCCGCGCGCGATCTGCAGCATGGCGTCGACGACGACGACGAGCGGGAGTTGCGCGCGCGGCCGCTTGGCGCTGCCGCTCGCCTCCTTGAAGAAGCTCCCGAGGTCTTTGCTCATGATCTGGTCCATGGCGAGGTACGCCTCCCGCTTCTCCTCGTCGCGGAAGCAGTACCGGCAGTGCGCCACGTTCGGGTGCGCCACCGACGTGAGCAACTCCATCTCGGCGCCGACCGCGGCGTCGTCGGCGTCCACCCCGACGTAGTGCTTCACGGCGAAGGCCTCCCCCATCCACTGCACCTCCTTCAGGCTGCCCCCGAGGCGCCGCCGCATGTGGAAGTCGCCGAGGAGGAGCGCGGCCGCCGGGTGCGGCTCCCCGCGCGGCGCGGCCAGGAGGTCGGCGATCCGGTGCTCCTGCCGCGACAACGGCCTGGATCTCATTTCGTCGAGCAGCTGCGAGAGGAGCCACCTGTCCTCCGCCCACGCCGTGTCCATCCGGGCGGCGAGCTCCTGCGTGGCCAGATACGCCCTGCCCACCCTGCTTCGCCGGAACAGCGCCGGATCGAGGAGGTCCTTGTCGTAGTCCCGGGCGAAGAGCACCCGCCGCCGCGCGAGCTCGTCGGGGTTGAGCGCCGCGGTGGCCTCAGCGACGACCTCGACGGCCTCGAGCACGACGGCGACGCACCAGAGGAGGCCGTGGAGGTGCAGCTCGACGGACTCGACGCCGTGCGTGAGCGCGGCCGCGCGCGCCCACCAGCTCCCGCCACCGCCGCCGCCACCGCCGTGCAGGTCCCCGAAGCAGAGACGGATGTAGTGCTCGGCGTCGCGGACGGCGCGGCAGAGCTCGCGGAGCGGGGACTCTAGCGGCTTCCACCGGCCGGCGAGGCGGTCGTCGAAGCGGAGGCTGGCGCGCACCTCGGCGGCGACGGCGTCGAAGGCCAGCTCGCAGGCGTCGGCGAGGAGGCGGCACTGGCGCGGGTTGACGCGGAGCTCGTGGTGGAAGGCCATGAGGGCGGCGATGCCGCCGAGGGCCTCGCCCACCTGCCGGAGCTGCTCCATGGACGGATCCTTAATTTGGGGCCTCGCTCGCTCGATCGCTGGTTGAACGAGAAGAGAGATGGGTGAGGCTGGTGGACGGATACGAATGCTGCCATGCTGCATGCATGCATCGTTGTTTTTTCATCTCTCCCGCACGGTGGAAAAAATCGTATTACACCACCTTGCTTACTTTTTCTTAAGTACACCTATATAAAACGTCTTTGCCATTTTATTAATTTAGCTGTATGTATGTCGCCTGAAATTTTATTTTGTGTCAGTCGGTTTAGTGTGTTAATGATCTTGCTTTACTATTCATTATGTTATTTTTTTCCAGTCTTGTCAAATCTCAGTCCATTGAGATTATGTTATGTCTTAGTCCATATCATATTCGTCAAATCTTATATTAAGATTCGTGCAAATTTTTCTTCAATTATTTTTATTTCTTTCTTACATGTTATGTCAAGTCTCAGTCGAGTGAGACCCAGCCACACCCATTTTTCCGGTTTGTTCTTTGATGTATTTGGCCAGGCCGAACCCATTACCAGGTGTGACCAAGCCTTCCCCTTCCTATTTTCTATCTTTCTGTTTTGCTTTTAT